GCAACTTAAACTGTATATTATAACCTTTTAAATGGAATAATAATAATATAAGAATGGCAAAGAAAAAGAATAACTATGTGAATGTATACCTAGAACTGTATCTAAGAGAATAAATGACAGTAAAACTATAAAGCACAATATAGGTAAATCATATTTGGTCATAAGTAGCTAAATATAAATAAATAAAGAATTGTACATGAAAATGGATAACGAACAAGGAGATTATGAACGCAGGATAGAAATCTATAGTAGGGAAAACACTAACTGCAAAGAAACCGATTTGGAACTGCGATATGATATACGATATATATGTAGTTTTTAAGTTATGTGTTTGTTTCTGTTGATGTGCTTGTGTGTTTAAAATAAAAATAAAAAAATTATATACAAGAAGTTGCCTCCAGAAGTTGTGAATGCCCCAACACTGGAAGTCTTTAAGAAGATGTTGGATAGCCATTTGTCTGAAACGGTGTAGGGTTTCCTGCCTAGGCAGTGGGTTGGACTAGAAGACCTCCAAGGTCCCTTCCAACTCTGCTATTGTATTGTATTATCGTAAACTAGGAAACATAATCAGTGCTTTTAACTTAGGGCAGTGTGACTTGCTGCAGTCTGGAAAGGCAAATTGTCCTTCAGCTGCTGGCATTTCTGCCTTATAGAAGCTAAAAGGGAGATCTTGTGATGAACTTGTCCAGGGTCTTAGAAGTGATTTTTGCTAAGATAATTGGTACTCTTGGATTAGAGAATGAGGTTCCAGCCTTTACTTGATCATAAAGATCAGTGTGACCTTGCACCAATCACTAACTCAATTCACACAGTTGTTTTGAAAAGAAGATGCAGGGGAATACCTGGTAGGATAAAAATGTAGGTGTGTGTCCATATGCACTTGTGTGCAGGGACTCTGTATTTCTATGTGTGCTACTTGAGAGAGAAGCCAACTAGCCTATTGAATTGCTGGTGTGTTTTTAACCCATCAAAATAGCTTGCACTTCTGTTCAGGCAATGGTCTAAAGCTAGTTTTGCATATGCAGATTTCCTTCCTTTTCCTTCTTCTTCTGTTGGAAGGAATGTCTGTCTGGGTTCAGTTCCAAGTGGGGAGAAGGACACTGGAAACATGGTGGCTGTTTGGAAAAGTGGTTTGAATGGTGGACTGGATCACATGCCTTGAAGATGTTGGGTGAAGAAGAAGAAAAAGGGCAGAGACGCTGAGAGTCCCTGGGTTTTATAACCTCTCTTGGGCCCCAATTTAAGACTTTCCTGTTTCTGTCCAAGAAATGTATCCCATTGACTGTTAGACTCCCAGGGGGCGGGGGTCTTAGCTAACTTTGTACATTGACTGTGTCCCAGGCCTGGCTGGGAGATGTAATCTCCCCAGGTGCCATGCGGTGAGTTCTGTTGCTAGATGGGTAGAGGGCTAATCCTATCATGTCTTAATCCCATCACCCTGGAGCTGTTGTGTAGAATAACTGGCTCAGACCTTAATGTCCCATTGACAAACATTTCCTAGAATATTTGATTCTTCTAGGAGAGAGGTGGGTGCTAACTTCCTACACTGGTATGTGAAAACTTGCTGGTTTTAGGGGTAAGTCCCAGTGGTGAATTTCAATTTTTTAAATTACCAGTTCTGTGTGCGTGGCTTGGTGGCCAAGGCAAGGAAAGGATACTGCAAAATCTCCATTCCCTCCCCACTCCTGGGGGAAGGATACTGCAAAATCTCCATTCGCTTCCCACTCCTGGGGGAAGGATACTGCAAAATCTCCATTCGCTTCCCACTCCTGGGGGAAGGATACTGCAAAATCTCCATTCGCTTCCCACTCCTGTGGGAAGGATACTGCAAAATCTCCATTCGCTTC